GCTTAGAACTGTGAACTACGATTTCTGTGAGCAGGGACCAGAATCAGACATTGCTAGAGCGGGAGACATGGTTTTTAGTACAGTAGTCCCCCCCTCCCCCGCCTTATCCTTGGGGGATAAGTTCCAAGACCCCAGTAGATGCCTGAAACCCCAGATAGTACTGAACTCTATATAGGGTGTCCCAAAAAAATGTATACACACTTTGAATTATTATAAAATCAGTGTTTATTAACATATAGTTCATTTTCAAAATTTAAAAGAATCTGCAGAAATGAATAATTTTTTGTCAATGTCTGAATTCAAACTGATGACCGGTCTGGTCCAGGCACTGCTGATAACATGAAGAGGTGGAATCGCAAACATAAAAAATCATTTCATTTTGCATTTGTGTTCCCTCAATTCGTCAACTGTTGCTGGTTTTGTACCATAAACTTTATCTTTTATGTATCCCCATTAAAAAAAAAAAGTCTGGTTTTTTCTTTGTTCAAAGCTTAGTCTGGCTTCACCCATTATTTCAAATCAGTTAAACCTGAAAAGGAGTGAGAATTGAGTTATCAGCTGTTAAAGTGTGTATACATTTTTAGGGACACCCTATATATACTGTCTTTTCCTATACATAGATACCTATGATAAAGTTTAAATTTTAAAATAGGCACAGTAAGAGAGTAATAATAATAACTAATAATAAAATAGAACAATTATACTAATATACTGTAATAAAAGTTATGTGAATGGCTTTGGGCCATTATTAGGTAAAATAAGTGCTACTTGAACACTAGCAGTGCATCTGATAACCAAGGCAGCTACAAAGTGACTAACAGTCGTGAATATGCCGGACAAAGAGTTGATTCACGTCCCGGGCAGGAGGGAGCCTGACATCGTGAGATTTTATCATGCTACTAAGAACAGCACACTATTTAAAACTTATGAATTGTTTATTTTTGGAATTTTCTACTTCATATATTTGGACTGTGGGTAATTAAACCTCGGGAAGCAAGGGGCGATTACTGTATCTCAGTTGATTCTTGTGAGGAACTGTTAAGAACCAAAAGAGAACTCTGTGTAAAGAGCATAACATGATTCAAATATATGACTATTTTTATCTTGTCATCCTTTAGACCAGTGCTGTCTAGTAGGAATATAATGTGATCTACATAAATAACTTTACAATTTCTAGTAGGCACATAAAAAGTTAACCAAAAAAAAGCTTTAAAGACATTTGCCAGTTATGGGGCACTTCCGGCATTCTCTCCTCAGAGCCTATGGAAGCACTTTAGGCAGGGAACTATTTCAGCAACTGGCAACCAAAATAATGTGTCTGACTGGACATCCCTCATTTCCTTTGACAAAGCCCAAAAATCTGGACCCACCCCACACCAGCAAATAACCCCCTTCCTGTTCAGCCACAACCCTATTTCAGGACTCTCAGATACGAACTTGTATTTGTTGAACCTGGACTAAACACTTTACATTCACTATCTCCTTTAATTCTCACAATAATCCTATCAGCTAGTTATTGTGTATATTTTACAGATAAAGAAACTGATGCTTAGGTTAAGAAAGTAGTTTGCCAAATTTCAAATCTAGGTCTGTCACACTTCAAAATTCTCCAGGGGCCTAATTCCTAGTCATCTGGCAGAATTTCCAATTCTGCATGCACAAGAGGGTAAGAAATTGCAAGAAATGTTGATCAAGGACTTCAAAAAAATGGGGTTACCCAAGAAAAGGAGAAGAGGGACAAATCCAGACTTCTTGTCCTGGCTCAGATAGCCACATGTCAGTCATCTGGGCCTCCCTCCCTCTCCAGGATCCCCTCATACCACCCTTGCTTTCCAGAATCTTCCAGCCACATGGGCCTCTGTTAACTAGCTGTTTTTCACTGCCTCATAGATCCTGGTGATTATTTGCCATTGTGCATCCTCCTCACTCAAGTTCAGGCTTCATGAGAGCAGGAAGATTATCCGTCTTGTATTGTATTCTCAGGGCCCAAAATCTGGACCGTGCCTGACATGTAGTAGATTGAATGAATGAATGAGGAACAAGTGAGCTAGATGGGATTATTCTGAAGTGAGTAGACTATCAAGAAGTGGCGCCCAGCCAGTGTGACTCAGAGGTTGAGCATCAGCCTATGAATCAGGAGGTCACAGTTTGATTCCTGGTCAAGGCACATGCCTTGGTTGTGGGGGCTCGATCCCCAGTAGGGGGGCGTGCAGGGGACAGCCGATCAATGATTCTCTCTCATCACTGATTTTTCTATCTCCCTCTCCCTTCCTCTCTGAAATTGATAAAAACATATTTTTTTAAAGTGGCTATTGGGGTGCACAGGGTTCTTACTAGTTGGAGTGGGCTCTTTGTGATCTGAAATGTAGTCTTGGGTTTCCCATTGGTGGCAGAGAATGACTTTGGAGCCCCCAGTTCTCAGGGCCTCTGAATTGGGGTCATACCTCTTGTTTCTGGAGTCTCTATGTAACTGCACCCTCCTGCCCCCTTCACCACCACCATTAAGCAGTGGCCTCAGACTTAGTGCATAGTGTTGCACCAGGACTCATATGCAACAAGGTAGTAGAATGACCACCACCTCTTCTCAGCAGGTATCACCCCCACCCTCACCCTGGCTGTTGGGAGGGAGGTGGCCCATGGAGGGGGTGGTTAGTGGGCCCCTGTCTCAGAAGTGCAATGAAGGTCAGCACTGTCTAACCTGAGAAGAGCTTTCTGTTTCCCTGGTTCACAAGAAGAGGGAGGAGACTAGTTGGAGATCACCAGTTGACCAAGAGGTTAGATCCCTGGATGTCAGCCTAACCTTAGAGCAAAGCCATCTGTGAAGATGTGTTCAGTTAGTAACCAGTCATGAGCTATACACTCACAATATGTGTACTTTCCTATATGTATGTTATATTTTTATTGTTTATTTTTTAAACCCACATACCTGGACCCACTCTCACAGGTTCTGTTTCATTATGTCTAGGATATTTCCTAGGCACTTACATAATTTTTAAAGCTCTCCATATGATTCTTATTGATAAGCAGTGACTGAGGACTCAGGAAGGTGGGGGTGTGGGTAAGGGGGAAGGATGCTGAGGCAGGATTTCAATCCCATTTAGAATTACGAAGTTCCAGAAAGCCCAACAGATTGATAGGTTGATATACATAAAACCTCTGGATGTCCAAAAGAAAACCATTATAAAATAGAAGAAGCAGGTAATTGGAGGGAAATGTAGCAAAAGCTTCGTAGCCTTAATATGTATACAGAACTCTTACAGATCAATAAGGTGAGCACCCAATAGAAAAATGGAGTGCGGGCAAGAACAGACAATTCACAAAGAAGAAATACAATGGGCCGATACACTTAGGAAAAGTGGTCAGCCTCACTAGGAATCAAATAAATGCAAATTAAAACAACAGAGACGTTATCTTTTGCCTAGCTAATTGGTGAAGATTAAATACATGATAATACCTCATGTTGGTGAGGGTGTGGAAAAAAACAGGCACTGTCATTCACTGGTGGGAGTACAGATTGATGCAACCTTTCCAGAAGGTAATTTGGCAACCGTAAAGCTGAGGAAGATTGCAAACCTTTGTGACGCAGCAATTCCACTTTTAGGAAGATTGCCTTAGGAAATGATTGTGGATAATAATAACAATAATAGCTAACCTTTATTAAATGCTCGGTGCATGCCAAGCTCCACACACATTATCTCATATAATCCTCACAGCCGTCATCCCACAGGGTGAGCTGTTATCACCTGTACTTTACAGACAAGGAAATTGAGGTGCAAACGGATTAATTAAGTCAATGACCAGAGGACACAAAACTAACAAGTAGCAAAGCCTGGATTTGAACCCAGGCAGTCTGAGTCAAGAGCCATACTACCTGTACAACAGTGTACACTGGGTGTGTGCATTGGATATATAATGTATACAGTGGGCAAAGGTGCAAGGATGTTCCTCTGGGCTTGTTTGTAATGGGGAAGAAAGGAAGGGGAGAAAACCTGCTAACTACCCCATGATAGGAATTGGTCACATGGATTGTGATATACTCATACTGGAATATTATGCAACCATGAAAAATGATGCTATAGAAAAAAGGTGTGAGGTCAATGGAGGAAAAAGGAGACTCATGTAATACTTTAAACAATAAAGAATTTAAATTAATAAAAGAAAAAAAAGTATGTGAATACTAGGGTTTTTTGTATATGTATGTTACTAATGATTCCATTTTGTTTAAAATGTGTGTGTTTTGTATATGCATAAAGATCTGTGAAAGGATATAAAAGGAATTGACAAAATTGGCTGCCTTTTAGAAACATTGTATGGCTGTGGTGAGAGAGAGAGACTTGTTGTTTCAAGCCATATATCCTTTTTCACTTCTTGAATTTTGAATCGTGTGAATATATTATCTATTAAAATGACTTGGCCTGACCTTCTCCTTCTATCCCCAGCCCTTAACTCTTAGCTGAGTTGGCTCGTCCCTCAGTCTGAGTTGGGGTAGCTCCTCTGGGCTTCAGCACCTTCATGCCTCCCTGAGCCATGCTGTGTGTCAATGCCGGGTGACAGCTCCCCTGAGAGGAGGGGCTGTCTGTCATCTTGGTCTGCCTGGGTCTCCTGGGACAGAAGTTAGATCATGAACACTGAAGTCAAGGAGACCTGGGTTTCAATCCCAGTTCCATCACCTTGAGGAAGTGACTTCACCATCCTGTGCCTCAGTTTTCCCATCTATAAATGGGTTTAATCACTGCAGTGAACTTATCAGGTTGTTGTCATAAGATAATGTGTGTAAAGCTCCCAGTACCATTCCAAGCACAAGGGAAGCTCTCTCAGGTAATAGCCACACGGCATCATTGCAGACCCTCTGTGAATGCTTGTTGAATTGAACGAGGAAATGACACCTGGAGGGGCAACTCCCCAGGCCCAGCCCAAGGACAGTGGCCCTTCCTCCACTGCTCATGCTTGGCACTGCCCCATCATTGCCATGCTCACCTCCCTGCCTTGTGCCCCCACAGCCACCCGGCCCAAGCTGAAGAAGATGAAGAGTCAGACGGGACAGGTGGGGGAGAAACAATCGCTGAAGTGTGAGGCAGTGGCCGGTAACCCCCTGCCCTCCTACCGCTGGTTCAAGGATGGCAAGGAGCTCAACCGCAGCCGCGACATTCGCATCAAGTACGGTAATGGCAGGTGAGCAGCAGCCATCCCTCCCTCCTGGCATCTTCCCTCCTGAGAAGGAGGGTCCCGAGCTGGCAGATCCGAGGGCTGTGCCCCCAGACTCACCTGTAGATCAAATTCCTCACCCCCTTCCTTGCCACCCCCAATTTCTCCTTGCAACCCTGGGCTCCTCTGGTTATGTTGGCCCAGTGTCTTCAGACTATAGATGCTTAATTACTGTCTCTGGATGGTTGAAGGCAATTTGATTGTCAGTCAGCTTTGCCTGTGGAAGTCCACTCTTGTCCTAGAACTTCTCAAAGGACCTGCCACCGTGTCTGAAAGCCCAGATTTGGCAATCCTTGGGGGAAAAACTGCTTGCAGAATGCATCTGGGAGGTCATGTGTGGTGATGGGCTGGTTTCTCAGCTCAGCAAGCTGTACTGGGCAGAGAGCTGGATAAGGGGAAGGGCACATGGCTTTGACTAGTGTTGGGGGAGTCCGTGTCTCAGACAGACCCCCCGATGACATAGGATTGTCTTTCATCTGGAGTCAGCGCTCCAGGGAAGTGAATCAGCAGCTCAGGAGCCTCCAGCTGTGGGAGATGGCCTCTCTTCCATCTGGGGTTGGTCGAGCGGGGGCTTCGGGCACCAGAGAAGCCAGGAGTCCCAGGGCAGCTCCTCACCTCTCTCCTGCCTCTCACAGCCCCGACAGACTGTTGGGTGGCAGAACAAGCAAAAGGGGAAGCCCCCCTCTGCCTGCCAAACAGAAGTTCTGCTTGACCTCTGTTCTGTTGGCCCTGATGGCCAAGTGGACTTCCCTCTCTAGCCGAGAGCACCCTAGTCTTTCCTGCCCCTCCAGAGTATCTTACAACCACCTGCTCCCTGGCTATCCTTTTCCTCCTCACTGCCCCCCAAATGCAAACAAGGATGATTTTAGAGGACCCCAACCTGCCCCACAACAGAAAGTGATGGAAGGCCAGGGCTCAGGCTGCTCCTGGGTTGCTATGTGGCCCTAGCTGTGTACATTCTGCCCCTCGTCCTCAGTCTCCAATATGTGAAAGAGGGTGTGGGGGTAAGGAATCTGGGAGGCACTTCAGTTTTCTGACTGTCCTTTCAGGAGTGGGGAGCAGAGGCAAATTGGTCACCTGGAAAGTGGTCCAGGTGAAATTGGAATTTACGAAGAGTTTGATTTAGAGCAGTGATTCCCAACCTTCTTTTGGCCATGCCCCACCTGAGCATCTCTAAAACCCTGATGTCCCCCGTGACATATAATTCTTATTATTCAAAAAGTGAACTCCTTTTCATATGGAGGAAGCCTAAAAAGGCCATTAACTTGGCCTAAACAAACTTCCATAGAACATGGCATCCATGAAAGAGAAAAATAAAAGAACGAAAGGACAGTTGAAGTACTGAGGAAGAAATCAGTTTAAAATAATAATAATAATAATAATAATAATAATATGAAGTGATATGAAAAATAGCAAATAAAGTTTCAAAACATATAATAGAGAACTGAAATGCATAAATATGTCAGAATATATATTTATACTAGAGGCCTGATGCACGAAATTAGTGCAAGGGGCTCGTCCCCCCTCCGCTGCTGCCTCTGCCTCACCCTGCCACCATGGCTTTGTCCAGAAGGTTTTCTGGAAGGACGTCCAATCTAATTAGCATATTTTGCTTTTATTATTACTATATAGGAGACCCCTAGAACCATAAGAAATGCAAAAAATTCACTGTTAATAACTCATTCTTGAATTGCCCCCCTTAAAAATCAAATTACCACCCTGTGGGGCGTGTGCCCCATGTTGGGAACCACTGGTTTAGATCAAAGGTTTGTGGCTGAAAGAATGCTGCATCCTAAGGAAATTGGGGAGAGGGGTCTTGTGTGTCCCCAATCTACATATTTAGCAAGAAACTCAGGTTGCCCACCAGACTCACCTTCTGAGGCCACCCCACCCCTTCCCACTGCCCAAGACTGGCTCCAAGCTGGAGAAAGGAATGGACAGGCTTCTGGGATTGTTGGGGCTCCAGTCCCCTCTTTCTGGGAGGTCAGAGCGAACACTCTCTCCGGACCTCTGCGTCTCAGTGAAGGAGGGGAGAGGCCATCTCCAGAAAGAAAGCAGAAGCAGGAGAGAAGGTTGTCCCTTGTATCCCCATTACTCTGAAACACGTCCACAACTTGGCCATCCTCATCCCCCCATTCCTGATCCCATGTCACATTCACACCCACCCACACACACGCGCACGCACACCCTCAGAGCCCCTGCGCCACCAACAAGGTCCTTTCTCTGGTGACTTCAGCCGTTCTCTCTCTCCTCACAAGCCCACTCACATCACTTCCCTCCCCGTTGCTTGCCTCTTCCTCCTCCAGCTGTTGCCCCATCTTGCTTCTTCCCTCCACCACCACACGGAGTCAGTTTCAAGCCCACTGACTCCACTCTCCTGTCCTCCACTCCTCTCGGCTCCACTAGACTCTGCCCAGTAAATACCCACCCCCCATCCCTATGGCTGTAGCTCTTGGCAGACCCAGCGACTTCAGAGCTTCCTGGCCCTGCGCCTCCAGGCCTGTCAGCAGTCGTTGACGTGGGTGCCACCTGCTCCCGTGCCCCTGTGGCTCTGCACCTCTTAACCAGCCTCTTAGTCACCATCAGTGCTGGAACTTTCCTGTCTTTTCAGCTTCACTCTCCTCCCTCCCTCTCCACCTGTGAGTGTTTGCACCCTCTCATATCTGATGACCCCAGGCCTCCATCTCCAGTTTGATGGCTTTTTTTAAAACCTGAGTTCCAGACCCATGCTGCCAGCTAAACACTAAATACCACCCCTGAGATACTCCACAGGCATCTCTAGTCCAGAGTGCCTCAGTCTGGCCTCTCCCTCCTGCCCCCTCTGGCCCTGCCTCACCCTCCCGTGCTCCCCTCTCAGCTGTGGCAGAAGCAGATGTCTGTTGCTCGGCACTGCCCCCATGCCATCCCCTGCAGTTGGGTACCACTTCTCCAGAAGGAAGCACCCGTCTCCCTGCCTCGCAAGCTTCTTATCTGGTCTCCTAGCTTTTAGCCTCTTCTCCTCCACTGTCGCCCTCTTGGCTGTCCCCACCCTTTCTGGTGATAGGATTCATTTCTGTATCTAACATAGCATCAACTGTGTGCCAGGCGCTCTGCCAGAGGCTGGAGAAACACCAGGGAATGGAACTGGCATGGCCCCGACCTTCACAGAGTTTCTAGTCTAGCCTCTGGTGTAGAATGTAGGTAAAGGCCTCCACCCTTTCTTCAGAAGAAGTGTATCTCATCCACCCAATTTTGCTTACTATTCTAGACGTCTAGAGTCACCGACTCCCAGGACTCTGACAGGGGATGATGATCTTTCTAACATGGGCACATATCCGATCTTCATTCATTTACTTGACAGATCTTGAGTGCCTGCTGTATGCCAGGTACAGCCCAGGCCTTGGGGCCCTTCCGACTCTTTTCTTCCTGGCCTCTAAGTCACTGCCCCGCTGTTCCCCAATACCTCAGTGCTCCCGATCTCTGCTCTTTCCTTTCATGACCCTGGACTTGGGCTCAGGCTGTTCCCCGTACTGGCAGCAGACCCCCCCCCACACACACACACACACACTGTCCCTGGAAAAGTTCTCCAAGGCCCAGCTTAAATGTCATAGCCTCTGGGACATCTTCTTGAGTCCTCCAGGCAGCTCTCGTCACCTCCTGTCATAATGTCTCAAACACAGTTCCATTGCATTGTTGGGGGGATGTCTCTCTTTCTAGCATGAGAGGGCTCCCCATACCCATCTCCCCTGCATGGCCTGGCAGAGGGTGACAGTAGGACTGGACAGGTCGCCCTTTGGGTTGACCTGGACTTTGAGCACTTCAGCATCCTGGTCAAGCCTCTGTTTCACCTAACAATTAGGTCAGCCAGTCAAGAAACAGGGCCTGGTCAGGCCTTCTCCTGGGTATCGGAGACCCCTGAGAGCCTGAAGTGTGCCCCTGTCCCCTTCCTGTCAGGGACCCATCCTAGCTGCTGCCTTTCTGAAATGTCCTAGCTCCACCCACCCTGCCCCTGGGCTCCCAAGCAGTGAGAGGGTGGAGTGAAGGAGTGGGCCATAATCGGGAACTTCTGATTCCGCGTTGTGACTCAGAGAGCTGCCACCTCCACTCACACTTCCCCTGGCATGGGGGCAGGGGCAGGGTCTCCTGGCTGGCAGCATCCTCTTTCCTTCTGCCCACACTGCAGCTTGCTCTCTGGCCCCCTATCACACCTCTGCCCAGGCCACACTCTGTCTTGACATTGGTCTTGGTCTTGCAGAGACCCCCTCCCTGGCAGGTGCTATCTGCCTCAGGGGCTGCCGCAGGAGGTATCTCACCCAAGCCTTCCTGCGCCTGGAGAACACTGGCCCCCCAAGCCCTGGGCACCGGCCCTCCCCTGCAGAACCGGGCCCTCCCCTGCAGAACCATGAGTTCCCTTATTTATGAGGGGCAGGCTGGGACAGGCCCCTCAGGCAAGCAGAGGGAGGTAGGCGCTGGGGAAAATGTGTGAGTAGAGGACGTGGCAGCCCAAATCCCATCCCTGCCAACAAAAGACTGGCTGAGAAAGGAAGGGAGGGGCATCCATCACAGGGGCAGGCCTGAGGCAAGGTGGCAAGGGGGCGCCAGGCCTGCCTGGGGGTGGGAGAGAGTCCTGAGTCCTAAGTCCTTGCAGCTAGGAGTGAGGAGAGAACCTAGTGTGTGTTATTCCTACCCCCCTCGTTCCTCAGGGCCAGGGAGACCCGCAGAGCCCGCCTTCAGCTCTTTCGAAAGCCTGGGGCCCACCTCCCTGGAACTGGCAATATCATCACGCAGCTGATACATGTAGGGGTCCTTCTTTTCGCCCCCTTGCCTCTTTCTGGTTTCTCAAAGGGAAGTGGCTCTCCCTGGGCCCCCCACTCCTTTCCCCACTTTCCCCAGGTCTCACTTTCATGTGGAAGCTCTTCTTTCCTGTTTGAGCCTTAATCCCTCCAGACATCTGTGAGCCTGGCTCTGCCTTGTCCTGCTACATATGGTGTCATATAAGGAAGGTCCTTTGAGTTCAGCTGTGGGTGACAAGGAGGCTCAGGCTCTGGGTCTGCTCTGCCGTGACCCTCTGACCCTCAGGCGATCCTCCCTTTTGCTTGTCTAGTGTCAGGGAAGATGTGGTGGCTGGGGAGCCTGGTCCTGAGGCAGCTGGGCTTCCTGGCATGTAATTAGGCTGAAGCCAGGAAGGAGATGCCGTCTTAGCCAGAGGGGCCTCCCAGGCTCTGTTTAATGAAGGGAACAAACTTGAATTGACAGAAGAGGGTTGTAGGCAGACATCAGGCCAAGGAGACACAGACTGGCTTGAGCTGGCAAAAATTGGGTGGGGTGGAAGGGTAGTGGGAGGGTCAGGCAGCTGTCACTGTAACATCAATAAGGATATTGCCATAGCAACAGGGCCTCCAATAAGACAACCTCACAAACCCTTGTTGGGGGAATCTTGGAGTGAGGACGTCTGGGAAGAGGCCCACACCCAGAGGCAGAGGTGGAGCCCAGGAGACTGGTGCCCACAGCACAGCCCTGGTAGAGATATGGGTCCGTTTGCCATCTCCTCCCCTGGGCCTGACCTCTCTACTCACCTCCCCTGTCCTTCCTCTTCGCCTTTTCTACATCCTGGGCTCCACCACTCCTCCAACCCACTACATATATTCTGTGAATCTAGTGTTTTGATTCAGGACTAAAAAGAGGAGGAGATTACAGCATGGAGAGAAATTTTCATGCTACTTCTTGTTTCTCCCTGGGGGCCAGCCTGGGGTCCCGCGCTTCATCTGGGGCTCCAGCCAGCCCCCGGAGAACACCGGGGCAAAGCGAGCAGTGGGAGATGTGACCAGAACCTGCAGAGCCCAGGTTCCCTGGGGCTGGTGCAGAGAGACACTGGGAAGGAAGGAGAGGTTGGCAGGGTCTTCAGAAGGAGAGGTTGGCAGGGTCTTCAGAAAAGGGGAAAACCAGGGCCAGGTATCCTAGAGTCACACACAGCACTGGAGTCCCTGCCCAGGCCTGGCTCCATATCTCTCGGCATGCAGGGACTGGGTGCAGAGTCCTCCACAGAGGGGTCTACCCCAGTGTCAGGCTCCGGGAGAAAGCCCATGCCCTCATCAACTCCAGCATTGTCCACCTCTGCCTTTGCCTTGCCATGTGCCCTTGGACAAGTCTAAAAGCCCCTCAGTTTTCCCATCTGTGCTGTCCTGTCCACCACCTCCAGATTAGCCAAATCAGGCCACAAGGACCGGATCTCTTATTCCCTAAGCTATTCAAGCTCCTGGCTCTCAGAAAGCACTCAGTAAACTTTTATTGAATAAATGAATGAATGAATGAATGAATGAATGAAGTGAAAGCCCCTTGGAGAGGCCACGGTGTGCCCCTTAGTGGCAGGGCTAATGTGAAGTTAGGGGAGAGCCACATGTTGGAGCTGGGAGACTGGGCACAGTTGCCATGGAAACCTGTCAGAACAGCCTCCCCCCCTGTAGGTATCTGGGAATAGGCTTTGCATTTAGAGTGACAGGCTGCCACTTCCAAGGAATGGCTGAGGTAGCTGGTGAGCCAGTGGCTGACCTGTTCAGGTTGGGGGAAAAGCACTGAGACTGGGAGAGGGGCACTGAAAGAAGGGAGGTGGCCATGTGACTTCCTAAGGGACCCTGATTTCCTCACCCAGAAAAATAGCTACAAATAAGGACCAGCCCTGGAAACATGGATGTGGAGATTCGTAGGATTAGAACATGTGTGTAGCCACTAGCCCTGCCCTATGCTCTCCTGGTGCCCAGGTTTCCTCCCAGCTCAAGGGACTCAGTGTTCCACCTGGACCTCAGACTCCACTTCCCATCCACACTTCGCAGCCACTGTGGCTCTGCAGGGCGAGGTGACCTCTGGGTGACCGCTGGGGAGTCACAGCCAGCCTGGGCCCTGGCTCACGCCTCTCCCCCTCTTATTACCTCCCTAACCAGAAAGAACTCACGACTACAGTTCAACAAGGTGAAAGTGGAGGACGCAGGGGAGTACGTCTGCGAGGCTGAGAACATCCTGGGGAAGGACACAGTCAGAGGCCGGCTCTACGTCAACAGCGGTAGGTAATCCGCCCACAGAGGGAGGGTTCCTATAGGGGTTCCAGTTGCCCCCCCAGCCCTGGGGAGGCCGGCACATGATCCATCTTGCACTTGACTCCCCTCCCTCCTGCTGCTGCCATATCAAGCACCGAGATCTGGGCCGATTCAGAGAAATGCAGTCGAAGCATAAATGTTTAGCTTTGTTATCGGGGCCTGGAAGAGCCGCCAGCTCTCATTTTAAATACCCTAAAAACTAAATATTTTGAAATCAAGAGGTGGGGGTGGGGGAAGGATATTTTTAGAAGGCAATTATGGCAGGCTGGGCTGCCAGGACCAGGCTCCGAGGAGAGGCAGGCCCAGGGTGTGTGCGTGCGCGAGCTGACTGCCTGGTGCCTGTTGCTTTGCTGGGCACGCGAGTGCAGGCAGCTGTCTCCACGGGGCCGTGGTGGGAGGCTTGGGTGCCTTTGACCCTGGGGACAGCCTCTGTTCAGGGATGGCAGGCCCCTGCCCTGCATGTCATTCTCTCCCTTGAAAATTTGTGAGGTCAGAAGCTCAAGATACCCTTAGCATCCCCTCTCCAGCTTGAGCATGGAGGCTGCCTCTTGCTGGGCTGTCTGTCCTCTGGGGCCCTTGACTGAGGAAGCCACTGGAACTGCCTGTCCTCAGGCTGCACCCCTCTACTCTAGCACACCCCACAGAACTCTTCCTTCTTCCTGACACCCAGGCCTAGCATACCATTTGGCTCCCTGGTTATTTGGGACGGCTTCCCAGTCCTGTTCCTGTCACAGATTCTAATCCTGTATCTCTCCTCGCCTACCTGTATTTCCAACATATAGCCTTACAGGACTCTAAACCCAGCATGGTCCAAAGAGAGCTCGGACATGGCTGCCTTGGGCCTGCCCTCAGAGGAAAACTTGGCGCAGACGCTCTCTGTCCTGTCTTGTGAGGGATCCCCTGCTCTCCCAGCCTCTCAGGCTCCTCCATCTCCCTTGCCACTGTATCTAATAGATCCTGGTCAGGCTTCTTTCTGGACCTTTCTCACACCTGTCCCTTCTATTCCATCCCCACCTCAGGAGCAACCTCAGCCCAGGTTTTATCCCTCATCACCTGAACCAGAGCAAAGGCCTCTCATGACGCTTTCATCCTGTCATGCACCCACCCTGAGGCCACAGAACAAATATTTTGTCACACAGCCCAGCTCTTGAGGGAAGCCCAAAGGATCTTCCCAGTCCTAACTGCAGCCTGTCCCTTGCATCCCATCATTATTTCTCCTCCCGGGTCATCTCTCCCAGGCAGCCTTCCTCCCTGACCACTCCCAGCCTGAGGCCCACTCCTGGGCCACTTCTTGGTCAACCATGGTCTTGTGTAGCTCTTGAATTCCAGCCTTCGAAGGTTCTTCAACTCTCATAGAGTTGCTGAGCTTTCTCTGTGGGTATGACCTCCCCAGGGCAATTGCGAACCAGGAGTGGGGAGAGCGGGATGATGCCTTCTCCCCAGGAGTTTCAACAATAGCCACAATTGCTGAGAGCTGCTCTGCACCAGGCTCCCCATTGTCTCTTGAGCCCGTACTCAAGGCCATGAAGTGTTTTAATATATATTTTTATTGATTTCAGAGAGGAAGGGAAAGGGAGAAAGAAATAGAAACACCAATGATGAGAGAGAATCATTGATCAACTGCCTCTTGCATGCCCCACCCTGGAGATCAAGCCCGCAACCCAGGCATGTGCCCTGACCAGGAATCGAACCGTGGCCTTCTGGTTCATAGGCCAATGCTCAACCACTGAGCCACACTGACCGGGCTGAAGTATTTTATAAATTATAACACTGAAGCTCATAAAGGTTAAATATTCTTCCCAAAGTCAAACAGCTAGACCGTGCACTCCAGGAGGCCATGTGGGGCTGTTTATTACTCTTGCCTCTGGGCCTAGCACAAGTGCCTGGTTTACAGCAGGCACCTGGGAAATATTATATAAAAGGGCTTAGAACCTGCTCCAAGTCCATTAACTAACTCCCACAAGCCCCAGCCTGGGCATGGTTGTACGGGGGGTACCTGGGCCCCCTGCTCCTCCCAACCTGTCCCAAGCCTGGGGAAATGGATCCAGCATCTGCTGCCTCAGCCAGAGTGGGCAGACATTCTCAGGTCCACTTTGGATTTTAGATTTCCTATTTCATTATTCAAGGCTTTCTTGGTTAGAGCTGAGAAGAACCAACCTAACTTAAAACTACGTGAAGGAATTTATTGGTTTATAAAACTGAGATGGCCAGAGGTAGAACAGGCCCCAGACATGACAAGAACTCAGAGCAGGGGCAGGATGCTCTCTCACACCATGTTAGCCTCATTTTCTCCTATTGGAAACCAGGTTTCCCCTTGTCTTGGGAATGGACGGGGAAGAGGAGGCCATGGCCTCAGACAGCTCCAGGTTTATATCATCCCAGCTCGCCACCCAGGGAAAAGGGATAGTTTGTCTCTGTGTCCATTCATACAATCACACAGGTGGATTCCGATGGCTCCCTGCTCAGGTGATGTGCCGGCTTAGCCCAGTCACCGTGCTCAGGGGGGTGAGGTGCCACCTGTGTGATTGTATGATTGCCAGGCCTGTGAGTGTGTAGAGGGGGTATTGAGAGGCAGCGTACTATGAGCGTGCCCTGCTAGAACTACGGGGGGAGGGGCAGGCACTTCCGTAGCGGTGTGCTGTTAGCAGAGGAGGAGGAAAGGGCTGCCATGCGAAAACCACAGGAGTGCCCTCTCTCCTGCTCAAGGCTGGGGACCTAAGGCTCAGGACTGTTGTGAGATCCCTCAGATAAGCTGCAACTCCCCCTACACGCAAACTCCTGACATTCCTCAGCAGCCCATGTTCTGATCAGTTAGGGAACCGGAGAGTGGAGCTTTAGGCTGCGCTCTGAGGACTTCCCACATGGATTCTTGCCTCTTGTCCTTGCAGCCTGGCCAGAGAGCAGCAGGGCAGAGTGGCAGAAAGAATTCAGAGCGTTGGTCTCATCCCAGCTCTAAGGCGCAACCCAGGACGAGTTACTCTACCTCCCTAGTCTTAGGGTTTCCCATCTGAGGCTCAGCTAGATGATCTCTAAGCCCCTGCCCCTTTGCTCATGGAGAAACTTCTGGGATTCTGAGTTTGATATTGAGGCTGACATCCTATGCACCACCCCCACACACACACCACACACACACACACACACACACACACACACACACACACACACACCCCACCTCTTCTGTTGCTCTGTTCAGTCCAGGGAAGGAAAGATCCTATTCTTGATGTGGGGAGGTGAATGGGGTCACTGAAGGGGACCGGAGGCCCCTGCTGGGACGCTTTCCCAAGCAGAGACGCCCAGGCTCCCTGTTTTCCTGTGGAACCCAGAAGCAACCACACCCTGGGGAGGGGGGAGGGCGGGTAACGGGCCTCTGTGCCTGCCCCCCTCTGACTCATCCCAAGGTGGGTAGGATTGGCCCGCCCGGGCCCCAGGGAAGCCAGGGCTACTGGAGTGGGGAGGCCAGAAGAGGGCATGGGAGGGCTGGCAAGGAGCAGTGGCTGCTCAAGGAGCATCATGGTGGCTCTTCGCTACTGTAGCTCTGTTCCAGCGGCCCTCGATGCTCCTTCCCCAAATCACAGAGCACCCTTCTTGCAGTCACAGCTCTGCCAGCTCATAAGAGGCACGTTCCTGAGTTGGCTGGGATAAGGAGGAGACAAGGAGTTTGTGGTGCTTTTAACAAAAACAATCAGCTTGGTCCAATCCACTTCTGAATTAGAGAAGCCAGCTGCCTCATCCCCAGGTGAAAGAGAATTTGGGAATGTCCCAGGTGACTGTACTAGTCCCAGATGTCAAACCTGCCTGTCCTTCACCCAGATGGCAGGCAGGTTTGGCCTGAGGTGTCACAAGACCATGGAAGCCCCGGAGAGGTTTCTGGGCCTGTCCATTACCTAGAGGCTTAAAAAGGCTAACTTTAATCACATACACATGCATGCATGCACTCTGACTCATGCAGGCACACACACGCATGCACTTTCACACATTCAGCAAGGCCTTACTCAGCAAGACCCTGTTTTGAGCTCTGCGGAAGCAGTCTGGGCTTCTGACAAAGTTCCTTAAATGGCAGGAAGCTAAAACCTGAACTCAGTGTCTGCCTGTCCTAACATACCAAAGATGAAGGATAGGCAGCTTTATCAATGGGAAAGGGGGCATTCTGGGTAAGTGGGAGGGCGCCTTGAGGGATGAAGAGGTTTCTCCATGAGGGAGGGAGAAACAGCTGCTGCAGCTGGCAGCAGGAAGAGCATCCATAGCATCTGCCCCCTCCTGACCCATTCTCTCTTCAGGGACCCGGTAAACTTACACCAAGAAACTAATGGCTAATGTGCCCAGGCATTTTTCTAAATCAAAAATTTTATGTCTAATTGACATGCTATAAAATTCACCCTTTCTAAAGCATACAATTCAGTGGGTTTTCGTATATTCACAAAATTGTAAAACCATCACCACTAATTCCAAAACATTTTCATCACCTCAAAAAAATACCAAATACTCATTAGCAGTCACTCCCCATTTATCCCTCCCCTTAGTACCTGGCAATCACTATTCTGCTTTGTGCCTCTATAGATTTACCTATTCTGGATATTTTATATAAATAGAATCATACAATATATGACCTTTCATGACTAGTTTCTTCCACTTGATATGTTTTTAAGGTTCATCCACATTGTAGCACTTATCAGTACTTTACATTTTATAGCTGAATAATGTTTCATGGTGTGGATATATCACATTTTGTTTATCCATTCATCAGTGAGTTGTTGGGTCATTCAAGTTTGTTTTCACATTTGGGCTATATGAATAATGCTGCTATGTCATTTGTGTATAAGTCTTTGTGAGGACATATATTTTCAATTCTCTTGGGTATATACCTAGGAGCAGAATTTCTGGGCCACATGATAACCCGCTGTTTAATTTTTTTGAGGAACCACCAGACTGTGTTCCAAAGTGGCAGTACCATTTTATATTCCCACCAGCAATGCATGACGGTTTGAATTTCTCCTCGTCTTCACCACCACTTGTTATTATCCATCTCTTGTATTGTAGCCATCCAAGTGAGGGTGAAGTGGTATCTCACTGTGGTTTTGATTTTCTTTTCCCTGATGACCCCCCAGGAATATTTGCATTTAACAGGAAACAATGTTTTGATCTACAGAAAAGCTACGTCCCCATCAGCCAAGGTTCAGTGGTAAATGAGATAGACAGGGCCCTGCCCAAAGGGAGATTACATTCTAGTGGAGGGGAGGGGCTAAGCTTCAAACAGCTAGTAATTGCACAACTAGTCCTTTAATTATGTTAGAATGAGCCCTACAAGTACAGATATACAAAGCTACGAGAAAAGTGAGGAGGAGCCTGAGCAGCCTCTCTGAGATACTGATTTGTGTGTGTATGTGTGACTTAAAACTACATTTATTATCTTTCGGTTTTTGTAGTTCAGACATAGCTTAGCTGATTCCTGCAGCTCAGAGCCCCTCACAAAATTTCAATCAGGGCCTCTGGGCTCAACCTGGGTGTTTGGGGTGGGGGTCAGGGGGTCAGGATCCACGTATAAACTCACTCATATGGCTATTGGCAAGCCTCAGGTCTTCACACTCAGTTGACCAGAGATGAGATACTAATATTTTGAAAGTCCTGGACAGGAAGGCACCTGGCTTGTTAGAGGAGTTGGACTAAGCCAGTGTAGTCTGCACATACTGTAAGAGAGGAATAGGACACGAAGCAGGAGAGGTGGGAAGGCCCAGATTGGACCTGGGAAAAGTTGAGGGACTCTATTCTGAGTGCAAATGGAAGCCATAGGTAGATTTTGATAATGGAAATGATTGATCAATATTCTAAAATCCAGTTTGGCCCTAGCCCAGCCGTAGGCAAACTACGGCCCTCGGGCCGGATCCAGCCCGTTTGAAATGAATAAAACTAAAAAAAAAAAAAAAGACCGTACCCTTTTATGTAATGATGTTTACTTTGAATTTATATTAGTTCACACAAACACTCCATCCATGCTTTTGTTCCGGCCCTCCGGTCTAGTTTAAGAACCCATTGTGGCCCTCGAGTAAAAAAGTTTGCCCACCCCTGCGGGCCTAGCCAATTTGGCTCAGTGGATAGAGTGCCAACCTCTGGACTGAAGGGTCCTGGGTTCGATTTTGGTCAAGAGCATGTATCTTGGTTGCAGGCTTGATCCCTGCCCTGGTCAGCAAGAGTGGGAGGCAACCAATCAATGTGTCTCTCTCACATCGATGTGTTTCTCCCCCTCCCTTCCACTCTCTCTAAAAATCAGTGGAAAAATATCCTTGGGTGAGGATTAACTAAAAACTAAAAATAAATAAAAACCACTTTGGCAGCTACGACGAGAAATGGTTAGAGATGAAGGCAAGAGTGAGGGCAGAGAGACCAGTGAGGAGGCTATGATAGTCGTGCACAGAAGAGACCATGCAACCAGGACTTGGGGAGGCAGGAGTGAGACATGGATAGAGACTCGTGCAGAGGTAGAAAGGCAGCCCTTGGTGACAGACAGCTGGGGAAAATAAAGGAGGAAGAGAACCAAAGATACCCTCTAGGTAATGGGTTTGTTCCCTGCAGTCACTGGCTGGGCAGATGACTGGCAGCTGAGTTTGGGATGGCTAGGAGCCATCCCAGTGGAGGTGTCAAGGGAGTAGCCAGACTCTGCAACTTGGAGTCCGTATGTCATCTTCACTTCCCCAAACACAGGAGAACACAGTGACGAGGGAGTAGGGATGTGTTGCCTTGAGAGCCTACAGAGTTGCACTGCAATGACTTAGGAAGGCCCTGCCATGCTGGGGGTGGGGGTGGGGGGGGGCGGCGGGCAGGGAGGGGGAAGCTCGAGGTACTTCTTTCTGAGATAGAAAGGCCTACGTCACTTCCCCACACACACTCTGTGACTGGCTCCCCCATTGGCCTCCCCTTTTGCCTTTCTAGTCCCCATGACAACACAGTTCTGGCAGCCCAGGCCAGGGCATCCCCGGTGGGACCCTGGCTTCCTTCAGGAGTTGTCCTCTACCTCCCAAGGCCTCGATGAGCACAGACAGGCATGTGGACAGACCCAAGTGTGCAGTTATGGTCCCTGCCACCCTCCTCGCTGCCCTCTGCTGCTCACTCAGCACAGCAACGGGCAGGCTTTCCCGCCCGTGACTGTGGTGGAAGCCAAGCTGGGCCTGGCAGGTTCAGGACAAGATTTCTCCGGCTTGGCCAAGACTCACAGAGGACGCAGGCCTGTGGTCCACATCGGGTTTGCATCCATCTGCTTATGTCAAGTCTTGTACTGACGTGTTCTTCCACAAGGGACTGTGGCTGGCAAGAATGCTCAGCCAGGCGTCGGGAGTTTTAGATCCTTGTCACAGCACACACTGTGACTCTGAACAGGCACTTCCCTGCTCTTTCCTCACTCCCCCTTGGCAGTGTAACCAAAGGACAGGACAACCTCTAGGGTCATTCCAAGCAACAGGATTTTATCATTCACAGGCGTGGTCACCTCAGCTGTTTCTCTTCTCTGTCCCTTTCTCAGTTCCCTGGGTCTCACTGACCCAGAAATGAGGCAGAGACCAGCAGGAGGCCTCCTCTCCCAGCCAGCATGTGGCTCCCAGCTGGGCCTGGAGTGTATGTAGGCAGGAGCCCTGGGCAGGGTGGGGCTCAGGATGCCAGACCAGCAGCAGGCACGATGTGGAGGGGAAGGTGGGAGCTGGCCCTGCCCGCTGGGTTTTATCAGCGAGCTCTTCAGACATATACAGAGGCAAGGCTGTGTATACACTCCCAGTCCCCGCGCTCCATCTGTCTCCCCGCATGTCTAAACAGTGAGGGCGCCAAGTGCCTGCTCTCCACCTCCTCCTCCTCTCGCCCCCATTACTGCGGGAGGTGGTAGACACTCAATACCCCTGAGGAGACAGGACCAGCCAAGGTAAGAAGGTTCGCCTCAGTCAGGAGTTTGCTGCTGGGTGAGTGAGAGGTCCTCAGAGCCCCAGAGTCTGGGGGGGCCCAAGGGGGGCCCCGGGGTCACGGGGGGCAGGAACCAGTTTCTGGCTGCCCAATCTGGATACAAAGCCTAGGCCCTAGGGGGTTAGCTTACAGATGAAAACTGACATTTGGGGCAAGAATTTTCACTTGAAATCAGCTTTCTGGATGCCATCCAATGGGGAAGCAGAATTTTTGTTATGTTCACTTATCAAAAGAAGCTGATCAATCAGATGTGCAGTCGGAGTCAGCAGCCCTAAAGCCCATCTTGCTCTCACTTAGTGTTCACCTCCCAGCTGTTCCCAGCCCTCTCCCAGCCTGTCTCCTCTCCAGCAACCTGAAGCCCAGGTTTGTACCCTGGGCTGTCCAAGGCCTGGAGGCTCCTCCAGAGGCAACAGCTAACGCCGTGGGGAAGGAGGGGGCTACCTGGCGAGGGCAGATGCAAAGAAGACCCTGGATGCTCATGGAGATGGGCACAGTGGCCTTTATGACATTCATGGGAGGCTTGTCTCCTCCCCCCCTCCAAGGGGGAAGAAATGGAAGGAAGGGTTCTCCCCACATCTCCTTAGATCTTAGAACCTGACAGTGTCCAAAAGGCGCCGTTCCCCTCAAAGCGTAGCTTCCTTCCAGCCACTATGGGAGCCCAAGCAGTGCATATGGATATGGATGTCCCCTCCCTGTGACTCTGTCCCCCACAGAACACGTGGGGTCTCATCTGTCTGCAGTGGCGCCCCCAGGAAGACAGGCAGGGAGGGGGCTGAGGGAACAGTTTTTGCTGGCCTCTCACCACCTCCACACACAGAAAACCTCCCAGGCCTTTGGAAGTTTGCCCAGAGCAGGGGTGCAGGGTGGTGCTGGACAGATGGTCAGAGCTCATGGTGGCCTCCCCTTTGCTTTGTTGGTGACTGAGAGGGACCACCAGACCTTCCCTGCCCAGCCATTCCTGCTGTCTCTGAGCTTCGAGCATTGAGATGGGCAATGCAGGCGGTGGTTCCTGGGGCCCAGAGGTGGTCTCAGTGGGTCACTGGCATATGTCTCTCATACCTCCAGTGAGCACCACTCTGTCATCCTGGTCGGGGCATGCCCGGAAGTGCAACGAGACAGCCAAGTCCTATTGTGTCAATGGAGGCGTCTGCTACTACATCGAGGGCATCAACCAGCTCTCCTGCAAGTAAGTGACCAGTGGGGGCGGGCGTGAGGGCAAAACAGGGTAAGACAGGCTGGGGCAGAAGTGGAGGGCTCTAGGAAAAGTGCGCTTCAAGCCACTAACAATGGGTCCCCAAGGAGTGTAGACAGGGATGTGTGCCCCCTTTCCTGGAATCCAGGGAGATGTAGGCGCTAAAGGGCTCAGGGCTTCTCCAGGCCCAGTTTCCCAGGCCCCTACCCACTCATCTCCTGATGTCCACCCCTTCACCACCTTTCAGGAAGATGGGGAGGCCAGTCTGTGACCTGGGCATTGGGCTCTCTCTCTCTCTCTCTCTCTCTCTCTCTCTCTCTCTCTCTCTCTCCCTCCCTTCCCTCCCCTCCCCATTGCTCAGCAACTCTCCAAACTTTGTTCTGATAAACATTCCCTGGGGGGGCGGGGGTCCCCAGCAGTGAGGAGCCTGGCAGGGCCCAGGCAGAGTGTGAGTCCCAGAGCCCTTGGGGGAGAAGAGGGCTCTGTCCCCAGTGCTCACCTCAGGACCTGGCTACTCTCCCTGCCTGGCAGGACCCCACTATCCAAATATGCCCTGGGTGCTGCCTGGCCCTAGTCCCTCTCTATGGGATGAAGGGACTCCAGTGGGGACACCACTCTTGGTGTGACCCAATGGGGGAGGTCAGGGTTGAAGAGCTCAAGCTGGGCCTTCTGTGCCTCCCCAAGGTCAGAGCTCCTCTCCAGCCGGCAGGGCTGCCTCAGGAGGACTCCCAGGAGCTTAGAACCACCTGTTCCACTTACACACAGGGCAGAGGGAATGGGCATCAGAGAGGGCTTGTTCAGGCCCAGCCAGACCTTCTGAGCAGCTGGACCCACAGCGCCCCCTTGATGGGTTCTCTGGCAGGTGCAAGAGGAGGAGGAGGAAACAGAAGAGGAGGAGAAGGAGGAGTGGCTGGTGAGGGTAGCACAGGTTCTGGCTGGATCCTCAGGAGTGGGAGGGAGGTCTAGTTAACAACTTTGGGTTTTCAAAGCAGCCCAAGGCTAGGGTCTGGCAAGGTGCCAAAGCTGCCCCATTCCCATGGCATCTGGGCAAAGGCCACCAGAGTATCGATGGAGATTCAGAGAGAGGCATTTGCCCTCCCCACAGACAAGTCAGATTCAGCATTCCTCAGCTCTCCTGTTCTCCCGCCTGGCTACAGCCCTAGCCCGGGACTTTCAAAGACCACCCCACCACACAAAGGGAGAACAGAGGGTCTATGCCTCCTTCACACTCTCCCTCAGGGCCGGGCCAGCTTGGCCTGGGCTGCCAGGCAGATCTGTGCCTCTCACCCCAGCTGGCCTCCTTTGCTGGCTTCCTTCCTGGTTCCACCCTTACCTACTGCCATTCCCTTTCCGTCTCCCCGATCCTGAATCTTAGGGGACAGTCCCAATGGCAACAGCAGGTCCCCCAGGGAAGTTCCAAGCCCAGACTCAGCCCCTCATCCTTTCTCTCACTCTGCCTCTAGGAGGCTGCCACATTACTTCTGGAGACCCTGGGGAGCATTCTAGCCTTGATGATGCTCTGAGCTCTTGGGAATAGACCTATAGAAATCCAGAGGGTTCTGGAAAACCTCCCAGAGACAGCCTAGCCTTGTGCCCTCCCTGCTTACCACCCCCCAATACACACACACCAGTCTTCTCTTCCTTAGCCCATTGGACCCTAGAATCTTGAAGGGATCCAGCAAAGGCACTGAAGTCAGCCCTGGCTCCAGGTAGGGAAGGTTTCAGCCCCCCAGGGCAGGTGCTGGGGCTGAGGAGGGCTTCGGGGCCCAGAACTCCGGCGCTAGAGAGTTTAGTGTGGGAAGGAGAAGGATGAGCTAATGGGTTCCCAGAGGGTCCTGCCATCAAGGCTGTACCCTTTAGACCCTCTGGGTCCCACCCAGCTCCATCTGAGAGGAATAGAGGGCAGGAGCCTGAGCCATTGTGAAGATAATGTCCTGCTTCCCCTCCCCACAAGGGCACTGGGGTCACTGCTTAGCACTTGAACTTGGTACCCAGAATCACCACCTCCCCATCTCAACCTGCCCTGGAACCCACTTCCCTGACTCCCTGAGCCCTCAAGGGAGAGGGGCATCCCTGGCGGGGATTTCGGCCAGGAAAGCAGGTCCTCAGAGCTGTGCTGGAGAAGGACAGGGGGGAGGGGGCCGGGCAGAGCCCAGAGGCCACTCTGGGGGTGGGTAGGCCGGGAGGGAAGGGGGGCAGGCCTCTTGGGGTTCCTGATGACACCTGAATGGAATAAAAAGGAGAGAACTCAGGAAATGGGACTCACGTCTTACCATTTGTGCTGTTTGTTTACTTTTTATTTTGATTTTTTTGCATTTCCGCTTAGCTTGGATAATGAAACTAGACTGGTCAGTTTCATTCCAGTTTCTATAAAAATCAGTTTTCCTTCCTGGTTTTCTGACACTTGTTGTTGTGTATTGGTTCAGAGCCCTGCAGGGAGTGTTGGAAAGCAGGCACACTCCGCCCCTCCTGTTTTTGTGGAATTCAGAGCCAAAAGAAACAGTGTCCCTGATACTGAATTTTGTTTTCAAAAAGAAAACTTAGGGGGATTGGAAAATGGGGGGTCCAAATCAAGGGGACTGTCTCCTGTCTGGGCCAGACAGGGGTCTCTGCACTTCCTCTTGCTGCTTTCTCCTCTTCTCTTCGTGTTTTGTAGAGCACGGTTGGTGCGTGACTCTTGGGGACTGGTTCAGGGGATGATGACAGAACAAGACTCTCTTTCCAGCCCTGTGCACATACCAGCGGCATGCCTCCCTTTCCCATCAGCTCATCCCCCATTCCTTCTGCTCCCCCACCCCATTTCCAGGTGATTTCCCCCATCCCATACCCATGTGCCTGCTCATCCTCTTCACATCACCACCCCACCCCTCATGAGGCCAGAGCCCCTTTCCTCCCTCCCTCCAGTGCCGGGGCGCACCCTCATCCTTCATCCTCCCCCTCCCCTGGGTGAGGGCAGCACACATGGCATTATCCCCAGGCTACCAAAAGGAGAAACTGAGGCCAGGGAGCTGGGGTGGGAAAACAGGGAGGCAGTGTCCCAACCTCTCTGTTACCCCAGATATAGCTCGAGGGCTCTCCTCTCTGCCCTTCTCTCACCCCTGCTCTTCTCCAGTCCTGGGCACAGACCTTCCCATAGTCATAGCAGATGATTTGGGAGGAAGGGCTGGGAAGGCTGCTACCTGCCATTCCTTCTAATCTGTCCCCTGTGCTTCTGTGCCAGGTCAGTCCCTGTTGGAGTGGGAACTACTAGTTAGCCACTTGCACTGAGTTCAGACCCCTCCTGGGTGATAGGCTACAATAGCTGGACCCTGCTACCTGGTCTTGGGTGCAGGGTAGAAAGGCTATAGGCTCAGTCCCAGAACCTTCTCTAGGGAAACCCAGCCTCCTAGATATAGTGCACCCTCAATAAGCAAGGCTAAAGAGAACAGAAGTGTCCAGGAGCCCATCTCCCCCACCCCCACCCCCACCCCCACCCCCACCAAGGAGCCAGTGCCCAAAGAATAGCATGGGTGTCAGTCCTCCCCACCCCTACGCTGTGCCCATCCCCCCACTGCCAGTGGGGAACACACTTTCCCAGGGCAGGAAGGTTAGGACCATATTGCACAACTCTGGGGGCCTGTTCATGCTATAGACCATGTCCACGGCACCACCTTGAGTTGTGCAATTCAGTGGCCACAAAAGATATGAGGATACAGTTGGGTTAGTCCAGGCTGAGTGTGGGATCAGGGACACAGGGATGTGCTGTTATCATTGGTCTCCAAGAGCATCCCAGGGACAGCATCCCTGGTGCAATCATGCCAAATTCTCCCAGTATTGGGAATAATGTCCCCTTTGCTTCTTCCTGCCCCTGCACCCCTCCTCCCCCATTATCTCTCTAACACACACACAGGTTTTCCCTGTCTCCAGGAGCCAGACTAATCTCAGACATTGGACACAGTCAAACATATCTCTTTCTTGTTCCTTTGCGAATTCCAAGAGTCATTTGGGCAAGTTCCCCCAAAGGTGCTGCTGCTTGAAAAATCACTACTCCCCCTTGAGTCCCCATCCCAAGTGGACATCAGTTTCTGAGAGCTGAGGAAGAAGAGCTGAGCCTGACGGGAGCTGGTTGGGAAGCCATAGCCTTAGCCTTAGCCAAGACCTCCATTTGCCTGGGCTGGAATGGTTGAGGATGAGAGCCAGGGATCAGAGAAGGAGGTATTGACAAGATGGTAGCCTGCTCCTCTAAGCCACCCTGTTCAACAGGATGAGTGTACATCAATTTCACTTACAGCCCCTCCCACTTTCTCCAGACACACCTTCCAGCCATTCACCACCACCCATTGGCCAGGTATACCTGCACACACACTGTCACCACTGCAGGGACCAGCCTCCTGCCTCCCAGAGGGAGATGATGTCAGGGCCCAGAGAAACTCTGCTACCTGCTCACCATCCACTCCCAATCCTCCAGGCTAGATTGAGGGCCACAGGGTTTTCATGAGTGTCTATCACAGCCAATGGCCACAACCTCCTATAAGCTTAAGAGGCTACTGACGATTTGTATACACTAGAATGCTAAGAGGTAGAGTACACTCACCTCTTGATTAATGTTGAACAGTGACCTATTATTGAGGAGACACTGGTGATGGGCTGACCTAATTTCCTAAGGAAGAAGAGGCGAGGCAGCATACCCATCTCTGAGTAGGATTTGAGGGTTAGTCTGGCCCTGTCTGTAAGCCTCCCTGAGGTATCTGAGAGTACAGGGCTGGGCATGTCTCCCAGAAATCTGCAAGACAGGGACTCACTTGAGGGGAGAGTGGCAGCCAAAGAGCAGAAGGAAGTATACCTAGGCAGAAGAGCAAGGTCAGGGAGCTGGGAGTGGGTGGTGCTTTGCAGCTATAGAGAAGGCAACATGGGAGAATGAGCACCCACCAGAGCCAAGTAAGGATGGAGGAGCAGGTCATGGGGAAAGGCAGGTGTGCCTGGCAGCCAGTAGGCTCCTGATGTGGAACAGGCTTCAGGGTCCCCAGGGAGCCTACTCCAGCTCCCATCATAGTACTTGCCACCTGAGGCCAGATGCCCTGCCCCTGGCCTTGGCAGGCTAGCTTTGGGATGCTGGTTATTCTGGCTCTTCGCTAGCCTCACCTGTTCCCCAGTAAGCTTCCCCATGGATACTACTCTAGGGCAGCCTTCCCCAAACAGGGTTACAAGGATTCCTCAAAAAAAAGACTTCGATGGTCAAATAAATTTGGGACATACTGGAAAATTCAGTTCTTTCCTCCTACAAAACTTTTCATAGCCTTTCATATGCCAGCGTGCACTGCAGCTCTACAAGGAAGCCTGGGAATGGATTTCCTAAACTTATTTGGCCATAGAACCCTCTTCAAGAGAAGAGATGAGGTATCTCCAAGGCCCCTTTTGTCATGAGTACACAGTCTGGGAACAGCATTCTGGGGTCCTCTGAGCTTTCTGGAGCTGTTTCATGGATGAGAAAACCTGCCCAGAGCTCTGGAGAGAACCCTTTGGTAGGGCCTAGAAGAAATGGCTCCCAACTCGGTATTCCAGAGAACTCCCAGCACCCTGCCTGCTGACTGCCTGGCACCAAGGGGCTGCAGTTCTGGCTTCTTGGGGCCCAGGCAGGGCAGAAGGGAAGTCTCAAGGACCATTAGGACAATTAGGCAGTAAGTTCCCAGTTTCCCCACCCTGCTTCCCTGTATCATCCTCCTCCCCGCCCCCTCCCCTCCCCACACCTACGGAGCCACATCTAGTAGAGAGATTTGGAAGGAGATTTCCGAGCCCTCCACCCAGCCCTGACTCCAGCCCCTTTGCGATAAGTGTGCCCCAGCGCCCAACTTGGTTTTCTCATTCATCACTGTGCACTTTGATTTCTAACCTGAGCCTCGCGGATGATGCCAGTTTGTTCTGTGATTTTTCCCCTTTTCCTTCTCCAGATGTCCAAACGGATTCTTCGGACAGAGATGTTTGGAGAAACTGCCTTTGCGATTGTACATGCCAGATCCTAAGCAAAGTATGTTTGAAGATACAAACACGAGTCCCTGCTCCTTAGAAAGCTTCCGGGTGCAGTCCCCCCACCCCCTGACGTAGGGCGTAGGGCCAGGGGTGTTGGTTGTTTTGATCTTTGGCTGTTTTGTTTTGTTTCTCTTTTCTTTTCTGTATTTTGGTTTGTTAGTTCTTTTTGTTTTGTTTTGTTTTGCTTTGTTTTTCATTTTTGGCCTAATCCTTGGGTTTAAAGTTCAGGGCTACAGGTAAGGGGCATAGTGGCAAGGCCAGTACAAATGGTAACGTTGGCAAGGAACCCAGCTGGCATGGGCAGGAGCCGTGCCAGGGTGTTGCGATGCCTGTGTCTTGCTATCCTGGCTCTCTCTTTCTGGTTTTCTTTCTTTTGGTAGGTGTCCTGTGGGATACACCGGGGACAGGTGTCAGCAGTTCGCAATGGTCAACTTCTCCAGTATGTCTCTTTCTTCTATTTCTTTTCTTCCCTGGTGACTGACAGTCTCCCCCTGTGGGAGGGGTGGGGCCTTGCTGAACAAGACTAGGGGAGGACACAGGGGTGCCCTGGGCTCCTCTCAGTCTTCAGTGCTCACAAGAAGCCTGTGCGGAGGAGACCCATACACCCCTGCCACCCCACCTCTACATCGCTGTCCTGCCTGGGTGCAGTAATGCCAAATTCTCCCTGCAGCTGGCCGAGCCCCGCTCAGGCCTCCTCACTGCTTCTGAGGTGGGGCAGCCTGGCCAGCTTAGGAAGAAGCATTTGCAGAGCCCTCACCTGCTTCTAAAGGCCTGTTTGAGGAGGTCAGGCTGCCTATGGGGCCGCACAGTGAGTGTGTGCACGTGTGTGCTGGTGTGCTTGACAGAAGCGAGTCCTCGGAAAGCCTGTCTCCAGGTCAAGCCAAAGTTGGTTTGGGTTTGGTTTTTGGTGATGGGGGTGTGGAGAAGGGGGTGTTGAGGGAGAACAGGTCCCATGGCAATAATTTCCATGTTAACCAGAGACTGGAGACATTTCCGTGGCTATGGGATGGGGTGGGCGGTTGAAGCAGATGCTAAAAGATCGAAGGGCTGAGGAATCAAGAGGTAACTAGCATCTCCCTCCAGGCCCTCTCTGGTCTGAGTCCCCATCCAGGTGTTCATTCCTTTCCATTCTTCCACTTCTGAGGTTGGAGCTTCTGGTGTACATGGTTTGCTGGGGTGGGTGGCGGAAGGGGGCGCGTCGGGATGTCATCCCTGTAGCTTAAGGATGAGGCCATAATTTGAGGTTTATTTGGAGCTGGAAGCA